ATGCCAAGGTCCGTTTCGGCGGGTGGCGACAGAGACAAATCCCGACAAGTGTCAGGCGATCATTAGCATGAGAAGCCCCCGCAACGTAAAGGAAGTCCAACGGCTGGCCGACCGTATCGCCTCCCTGGCTCGTTTCTTGCCGTGCATGGCGGAAAGGTCAAGGCCGATAATATCTTTGTTAAAAAAGGCAAGAAAATTCCAATGGACGGAGGAGTGCGAGTCTTCGTTCCAAGACTTCAAGAAAAGGTTGGCAGCCCCACCCCTACTAGCTAAACCAAACCCCCTTTTAGAAATGATCGTCTATATCTCCGCGTCGGACAAAGCTATCAGCACGGCCCTAGTACAAGAGCAAACAGAACAAATACCGGTATATTTCATCAGCCGAGTTCTACAAGAAGCAGAGACCCGATATCAACATCTGGAGAAGACAGTCCTAGCCCTCGTACACACGGCCCGTCGTCTTCGCCACTACTTCCAGGGCCACAAAGTAGTTGTCAGGACGGACAGCCCGATCGTCAAGGTCTTGTGGAAGCCCGAACTAGCAGGGCGAATGGTTTCTTGGTCGGTGGAATTGTCGCAATTCGACATTCGTTTTGAACCAAGAGGTCCCATCAAAGCACAAAGTATGGCCGACTTCATAAACGAATTCACCCCGGAAGCACTACCTGAACCGCACGTTTGGACATTACATGTGGATGGATCATCAAATCTGCAGGGTAGTGGGGCCGGTATCATACTCGAGGGCCCTGGTAAAGTAGTAATTGAACAGTCATTACGGTTCGACTTCAAGACCTCCAATAACCAAGCCGAGTACGAAGCCCTCCTAGCTGGCCTGCGATTGGCAAGCGACTTAGGTATCGGTAAGATCAAATGCTAGAGCGACTCACAAGTTGTAACTGGACAAGTCAACGACACTTTTCAAATCAAAGAGCCAACTTTGCTCTTATACTTCCATGCGTTCCACAAGCTGAAGAAGTCCACGTTGAACACACGCCTCGGGAACTGAATGTGAGAGCGGACCAACTAGCCAGATTGGCAAGCAGCAAAAAGACAAGCCACTTGCGAAGCATGATTCAACAAGAACTCCAACGCCCAAGCATCACCCAAGAAGAATGTCTACACGTCCAACAAGACGCGACCGATTGGATGACAAGCATAATTCAATACCTCTTGGAAGGAACATTGCCAACAGACCCTTTGGAAGCCAAGAAAGTAAGAACAAGGGTGGCCCGATATGTCATGATAGCCGGCGAACTTTACAAGCGGAGTGTCTCGGCACCTCTGTTGAAGTGTTTAACGCCCGAACAAGCGCATTATGTCTTGCGAGAGATTCATGAAGGCGTGTGTGGAACTCATTCAGGAAGCCGAACTCTTGCGGCAAAGGTCATTCGGGCCGGTTATTACTGGCCCACCCTGACAGCTGATTGTGCCAAGTTTGTGCAACACTGCCGGCAATGTCAACAACACGGACCTCTGACACATCAACCTCCAGAAGAGCTCCACTCTATCACCACCCCATGGCCATTTTCCATTTGGGGCATGGATATTCTAGGACCGTTCCCGTCGGGCAAGGGGCAAGCAAAATTCCTCGTGGTGGCAGTAGATCACTTCACCAAGTGGATTGAAGCGGAAGCATTGACCACCATCACGGCCAACAATGTCCAAAAATTCTTCTGGAAGAACATCGTCACCCGCTTCGGAATCCCATATGCCCTGATAACAGTTAATGGCTTACAATTCACCGACCGACGCTTTAATTAATTTCTGACCGAGTTGGGAGTTAAGCATAAAGTGACCTCGGTAGAGCATCCCCAATTCAACGGACAGGATGAAGCAGCAAATAAAGTCATCCTTAGGGAGTTGAAAAGGCGTCTTGGAGAGGCCAAAGGATCATGGCCAGATCACTTACCTGACATCCTATGGGCATACCGCTGCACTCCACAGAGCTCAACCAAGGAAACCCATTTCCGGCTGACGTATGGCACAGATGCAATGATTCCGGTTGAAGTGGGGGAACCTTCGCTAAGACGAACGCAATTCGATGAAGACGCTAATGGACAACCGCTCAACATCGAGCTGGATCTGATCGACGAAGCACGGGACCGAGCCCTCATCAATATGGAGGCATGCAGAACCAGGTTGGCAAGGAAACTTCGCACGAAACTGAAACCAAGGGAATTTCAGGCCGGAGATCTAGTGTGACGAGTCACAGGGGAAGCAAGAAGAGACAAAGCTCAAGGTAAACTGGCCCCCAATTGGGACGACCCTTTCCGAATAATGCATAACTTAAAGAACGGAGCCTACAACTTAGAAGAACTCTCGGGAAAGGTCATCCCAAGAACCTGGAACGCAACACACTTAAAGCATTATTTTAGTTGAACGAACACCATGTAAATGTTTCGGTGCACTCTTTTCCTTCTCTCAGGTTTTATCCTCTTAAAAAAGTAAGGAAAGAGGTTTTTCTGAGAAAAGGTTTTTAACGAGGCACCATATCAATGAAACAAGCTTGTTCTCGGGAATTTTTTATCTACAATATTAAATCCAAAGTCAAATAACTGAATCCCTCCCGAGCGCTCTAGCTCGGCCAAGGTTGATATAAACACTTCCCTCCCGGGTACCATCTCGGCCAAGGATGAAAAACTCAATCCCTCCCGAGTACCATCTCAGCCATGGTTGAATAAACAGTTCCCTCTTGAGCACCCTCGTTCGGCCAAGGTTGAATAAACAATTCCCTCCCGAGCACCCTCGTTCGGCCAAGGTTGAATAAACAATTCCCTCCCGAGTACCATCTCGGCCATGGTTGAATAAACAGTTCCCTCCCGAGCACCCTCGTTCGGCCAAGGTTGAATAAATAATTCCCTCCCGAGTACCATCTCGGCCAAGGTTGAATAAACAGTTCCCTCCCGAGCACCCTCGTTCGGCCAAGGTTGAATAAACAACTCCCTCCCGAGCACTCCCTTTCGGCCTGAGACAAACTTGGAAGAGAATTTCTACAACACAGATCCTAGCCACTTCGATCTTTAATGCTAAATTGGTCACAGTTAAAGTGTACAGGAATAAATTAGACATGAATAGAAGGGAAGAACGAATTCATTAAGACTGAGGTCAAAGCGGCACTATTGGCCGAAAAGTACAAAGTATGGCTCAAACGGCCCAAAATAATCAAAAAGCAAAAAAGACCCCTATACCTATACATCATGGACAAAACAGATGTATAATCAAAAAGCAAAACACCAACACCCTTCAATCTGCATGGGTGGTCTCCTCGGTTTCTTCATCTTCATTCAAGGTTGTCCCCGGATCCTCCACAAGGGCTGATCGGGGAGGTGCACCTTCATCCGGCTCCATGTCATCCAGTGCATTTGCAAAATCCATAAACTCCCCTTGAAAGAAGTCTTTACTCAGCTCGAACGAAAAGTCCGCGGGAAAGGTGCCGAAATGATTGGCTTGCCGAACTGCGTGTCAAAACCCTTCCTCATGCTCTTCACGATCTTGCTTTCACACTCGGCCCGGAAGGTCGCCATGGCAGTATCGGCTTCGGCCTTCACCCGATCCACCTCAGCTTGGAGTTCCTTCACCTCCTCGACCCGCATACGCTCGGCATCTTCTGCCGCCAGAACTCAACCCTCCAACCCCCCATACGCTTCCTTCCATCGAGCCACCTCGGCCTCCAACGACGCCTTTTCACCAGATAAAACCTCTTGCGCCGAACGGGATTGTTGCAGAGCCGACTTAGAGTCCTCTAGGCTCTTCTGGAGGTTGTGCATGTCGCCCATCGGCTCTAAAGCCATCTTCCGAAAGATGGCAGTGGCCCTCACGTGCAATTCGCACGCCATCGCCCATCTAGCCGAAGGAGTAGCCGCATCAAGCATAACATGCCCTTGGGTCGACAACAGGTCAGACGACATCATTCGGTCCGGCCTGATCTCCTCCGATAGGTAGTCCTTAGCAACGATGGCCGAAGGAATGGCCAAATCCGTGGAAGGACCCTCAACCCTCCGTTGCTTGGGCCGAGAGGCTTCCGTACCTGCGGCATCGGTCTTCCTCTTCCTTTTGTCCTTTCTCTTTCTGCTCTTAGGATCGGGAAGGGCGATGACAGGAGGCGTTAGATGAAGAGCATCCGTGGCTTGAGGTTGTTGGTCAATGGCCACACTATGATGATCCTCGGCATAGGTCCCGGCCGGGGCTTTGTTCCTCATTAATTGCCGGTACGACAGTCCCAAACCTTGTTGCGCCATCCAACTTGCAAAAATCAAACAAGTCACACATCAACTTAACAAGCACAATCAATCGGAAGTAACAAAACATACCCTCTAAGTCAAAACGAGGCCGAGGCGATTTGGGCAGCAGCACCAGAAACCGAGAGGGGATGCACTTCGGCAATCCCTTAAGAACGTCTAAAGCCGACAACTCGGCATCGGTCATCATATCCTCCGGAAAGTCATCGTATTTCCGAGGTTGTCGGGTCCAATAAAAAGGAAAAAGGGGTTTCTGCTCGGCATCGTAAAAATAACTCCGAACGGCAACGGGGTCTATGATTACTTTCACAAACCCGGACTTGAAACCCTTAAAGGACGACGTGAAGGGTGTCAACAGCGGTCGGTCGGGATTCCGAATCAAAGACAGCCACTTCACAGTCTTATTAGACGGACGCGTACAGAAAAAATGTAAAAATAAACCTACAGTTGGCTCTATGTAATGGTATTTACATAGCACCCGAAACGCTTGCATATAAGCCCACGCATTCGAGTGCAATTGGGTCGGGGCCACATTCAACACACGAAGGACCCCCATCTGAAATTCATCGAAAGGGAGCGACATCCCTAGCTCTCGGAAAAAACACTCGTACATGTAGAAGAAATCTCCCTGATCCTCCCGCTTCGCCAGAAAAACCAGATCAAGCTCCCCTGGACCTTCGGCCCGGCATCGACGCAACATAATAGGGTAAGGATCCCAACCTTCCCATCAACCCATCGTGCAGAGACCGAGAAGACGTTTCACGGCAGCCCTCTCATGAAAACGAGAGAAATACGCCGCCACCTCACCATCGACCCAATCATACCCAGGGATGTCACACGGAGGGTACTTTTGCCTATAATCCCCAGGACTCATTTCGGTGTCGGGCAATTCTGACCCGGATGAACTCCCTGTCTCCCCACTATGCTCCGGTCCCGACCCACTTGGACCCCCAACTATTTCTACTTCAGTGTTAAATGCTAACATCTCGGCTTCAACATCTTGTGCTGACACCCTACCACTGGCCGAGGGCCCTAACGACAATGTGACACCTTCGGTGGCCATTATCACAAAAATGGAACAAAGATAAGAAAAACACCAACCTTTGGGGTGTATTCGGCTCAGAGAAGAGTGGATACTGGGGAAGTGTAGAGAAGGCGTGAAGAATCGAGCCCCACCCCAACAACTTATACAGACCAGGCACGACAACCCAAAAGCCTCGTAATAAATGCCCCTGAAGGCGAATAGACACAACACTAGGGCGCGGAACCCAAAGGCGGCCATGGCATGCAACGGTAACTATCAAAACGACACACCTCCCGAAGAACATGTCTCCCCCAAATCAAAACCCTAAAAAAAAAGAAAGAAAAAAAAAAAAAAAAAAACCCGAACCATTTCAACACACAAAACCCCTACGTCTTTCATCCTTGGGCTTGGGGGGTAGTGTACCAGTAGGCACCCCTTCGGTCAGACAATAAGCCGAAATGGGTGCCCGAACCGACAAAGACACACCAGTTAGCACCCTTTCGGTCAGACAATAGGCCGAAAGGGGTGCCCGAGCCGACAAAGACACCGCCCCTTCGGATCCCGGCCAAAGGGGTACCCCAGGACTCCCTTACCACTAGAAGAGAACACCCAACAAAACCTCTCGGTGTTAAGCTGAGTCGAACACCTTCTCGTCATTGACATAGGCCAAACACCTCCTCGATCTTCGGATCAGCCGAACACCCCAATCAAAGACAAGCCAAATATCCCTTCCTCGGCCTTGATCTTGGCCGAACACCTTCTCGGCATTGACATAGGCCGAACACCCCCTCGATCTTCAAATCAGCCGAAGACCCCAATCAAGGACGAGCCAAATATCCCTTCCTCGGCCTTGACCCGCGCCGAACACCTCCTCGGCCTTGACCTAGGCTGAACACCCTTTCGGCCTTGTGCCTAGCTGAGGACTTCAACAAAGGACAGAATAAAGAACACGTGGCAAGTTAGATGCTTATTATGCATTAATTATTATGACAGATTATGAAGAGATTAAGGCTAACTCAAGTGTTACCCATCTCCCAAGACTGAAGGCCCATCAGGCCCAATTGTGTCACTATAAATACACAGGTGATGTGACATAAATGAGGTACGTTGTTATCCAATATAAAAGCACTTATTGCTCTATACCGAATACTCACTTGATCGTTGGAGTGCCTTTGCAGGTACCCTCCCCACCTCCTGGAGATAGTATTCGGTCGGCACCAAAGACTTAGAAGACCAAGAAGGAAGAACGGCAAGAGAAGTGTTTCTACGCAAGAACAGTTTATTTTTGAAAATTTACCAATTTAATTAATGTTGAGAATAGTCTATTTACTTTGAGAAAATAAATCATTTTTTTAAAATTTCTCCATTGTATATTTGATGACCCAAACCGAATCAGCTTAATCAAAATCAAGTTGGTTTGATTTGGCTTAAGCACAAAAAGTTCTAAAATTCAAATCAATTAAATGTAATTGATTTAAATTTTATTTTCACTCAAACCTTAATCAACTTGACTCTTGAACACCCTTGATGCATATATGCATGAAAGAATATAAGCATTTTTCAAATATATGAAAAATAAATTACGCGTCATTGAGAAAAAATAAATGAAAAACAAAAATTATAAAATTAATAAGTATTTTTTTAAAAAAATAATTTTAAATTTTAATTACCATTTTACTCTTTATAGTTTTTTTTTATAAGTTTTATGTTTTAGTTCTTATAGTTAAAAACATTTCAATTTAGTCTCTATATATAACATTTTTGTTCAATTTTAGTTTTTCTCATCTATTTTTATAGGGATTAAAAGGAAAAAAATTATGCAGCTACAATAGCCAAAAAGAAAAAAATTATATAACTATAAGAACTAAAAGAAAATTTTTATGCAACTATAGAAATTAAAAGAAAAAATAATAACATAAAAAATTGGAACAACTTTAATGATAGAGATTAAAAAGTAAATTTTATACATAAAATTATATGGATCAGAAAGATAATTAAACAAATTTTTAAGAAGTAAACAAGAGTTACTTAAAAAAAAGTTGTTTATTTTTAAAATAAAGAATTTAGACAAATACATCCAAAATGTTTAAAAAAAACCTGTTTTATTAATAAAAATTCTTTAAAATAACTTTAAGAGTTAATCATCTATACACTGTCAGCATAGTTTTTTACACCGACAACTAATCATATCTTTTAAAGTTTTTTATTTTATTTTCATTAAATAAGTAACTGACATGATATTATTAAAAGATATAATTAATTGTCAGTATAAATTTTTTTACATTAACAGTGTATAAGTAATTAACTCTAACTTTAAACAAACGTCCTGGGTCAGTATTATAAGAATAATATGTACTTTAACACAATGTCCCTCTAGTTATACTTTTTTATCGTAAAAAAAAATTAGAAAATATACCATTGTGCAAATTGCAACACTCATGAGCTCAACGTTTCCTCCAGGAGTCATCATGCTTAAGTTACCGTTTATCAACTTTCGCTTTGCAGCAGTGCCTTATGAATCCCACCAAATAACACAAAAGAAAAGAAAAAAATAATCTCTCTCTCGTTAAAATAATGTTTTCAAAACTGAAGAGATTACTCAATTGATGAAAGTAACGGTTCAAAGTTTATAGATTTGGGCATGTGTGAGTGTGATTGATTTAGATTCAATATAAATTATTACTGTGAAATATATGATATTAATACTATATAATATTAATATTATATAATATATATTAAGTTGTAACTATTAAAAATTAGTTTAAAAGAATCATGTTACATGCCCCTTTAAGATAAAAATATTCATGATAAATATTTAAATTAAGATAATAATTTACGTGGACCCTATAATTTATATAAAAATGTTTTATTTTTTAAATTAACAAAAATTAACCTTTTTTTTCAAGACAACTTTAAACTAATTTTGTACACTGTCATTACATAATTTATTTTTATTTTTTTTTATCGATTTTGATTGATTCTTAACAAATTTTTTGTTCTACTAATTCTCTAAGTTAATTATTATATTCATGGCATAGCGTGTTTATAATATAGTTGGAAAGTTAATCAATAATTGAAAAAATTGCTAAACATATAATTAGTGTTGTATTCAATGATCAATTAACTATTACGTGATGGAGACGCATAAACAAGCATAGCCAAAGTTAAGTTTAATTTCAATATGCATCATTATAAAGAAAAAAGAAAGTTTCAACATCTATGCGTATAAAGTTCCTTCACCTTCACACTCTAATTTAGTTATTCTGTAATATGAATAATTGAGATTTTAATTATATATATAATTAAAATTCTTTATATCGATGATGCATAAAAACTAAATTCATATATAATCATTTGATATTTCAATATTTCATTAATTCAAATCAATGTATAAAATAATTTTATGATTATCCATCAAACGAAATAAAGTATCAAATGATTATCCATTCAAATTTGATGTAGAACATGAGTTATTGAACGGAACAAATTTAGGTAGACTTACTCCTAAAATAAACAAATCGTTTATATATATATATATATATATATATGAATTTAGTTTTTATGCATCATCGATAGAAAGAATTTAATTATGTTAAGCTATTAAAAATCATCACATGTAATTTTTATAAAACAGAAGAACACAAGAACAAGATTTTGTAGAGAGCACTTGAGTTTCTGCGTGCTGGATTCTCCACTGAGGAGAGTTAACATCAAAATGGACGCAAAAATCTATGTTAAAAAGAAAGAGAGATGAGACAAAAGATAAATGTACGTAAAATTTTCATTATAAATTATATAATAATTAAAGATAAATAAGTAATGTAACCAAGAGAGTTAAAAAAATAACCAGTGAAAGCATGACAATAACCAGTGAAAGCGCAAAGCTAGAACGAAGGAAAGAAAGCCAAACCTTAGAAGATACAAATACAAGAAGGATTCACACTTATAAGTTCTAACTTAACCAAAACGACAGAGACACGGTTCGTTTTGATGGTTATAAGTTATTAGCGAAACCGTTAACGAGCGCCAAAGCGTTGCTGGTGAACTTCTTCACGCGGGTGACGCGATCGCATACGTTGGTCTTCACGGGACCCTCCGGTACGCCCTCGAACCCGTCCGTGCACGTTTCCTCGTCGGTCAGGGCGGCGCTCATCCACGTCAGCACGTTGCTCAGCCCGAACCGGACCGAACCGGATTCGGAGTCCGGTCCGAGCCGCCGCATCTGCTTCAGCGAGCCGCGGATCTCGTCCACCGCGTCCTCCAGGTTCGCGAAGCAGTCGTGGAGGGCGCCGCCGCCTCCGCCGGACTCCGAGTCTGCGGCGGCGGTCTGGTGCGAGAGGTAGGCGGCGGCGCCGTGGGCCTTGGAGAGGGAGACGGCGACGGCCACGCGGGCGAGGTTAGCGTGGCTGCGGTGCACCGCGGCGGCGAAGCGTGAGAGGGAGGAGAAGCAGAGGTCCGGGTATAGCGTGGTGTTGCAGCTTGCGCGGATGAAGTCGATGTCGCCGGAAGCGTCGGGTGCGGCGGTGACGGCGGTGGCGGATGGGGTGAAACGGGAGAACGTGAATGTGTATGTGAATGTGAAGAGTAAGAGAGAGAAGCGGAAAGGGGTTGTTGTCATTGTTGGTTGGTTTTGTTGTGTTTTGGGGGGAACTACTTGAGTTTCCGAAACTGTTTTTTATGTTTTGTAACCTCGTCCTGTTTTTTTGTCTGAACGAGGGGTTTGTTTATGTAGATGTTGGATTTTCAAGTGCTATTTGCTTTCTGCAACTGAACTTTCCAGAATAACCAAACTCCCACTATCTTTTCCTTTATTTTTTTTTTTTTTTTGGTCATGAATTTTTTAAAGAGTTAATAATCGTAATGTAAAGTTTTTTATACTAGCAACTAATTATATTTTTTTAAATTATTTATTTTATTATTATTTTATTAAATAAGTAATTGATATGATACTGTTAAAAGATATAATTGGTTATGAGTAAAAAAATTTTTTACACTGATATATAAATGATTAATTTTTTTTTTAAATTATGTTTCTAAGTTTAAAATTATTGTAATCAGGTTTATTATTTTTTACAATTTTTATAACTAAATATAAAAGACAATATAATCTTTTTGTTGTGTACACATTATTTTATGATATTTTTATCCTCATAATTGTTATCAAATTATTCATTTTCCTGTTATCAATCGCTAACTATTTTGTAATTTTTTATAATATTTATTTCTTATTTTTTCTTTCAAAAGAAGTGGAAGCAAGTAACTTATTTGTTATTAAAATATAGAAAAATACAGTGTCAATTTTACGTTAATAATAATAATATTATATATATATAATATCTCATTTTTATGAACATCTTTTTTTTTTACAATTTTGTTCTTATACTACCCTATAAACCATTTTTAACGTTTAAGATTTAGGGTTTTCAAATATCACGTGCATCATCTAAATAATTAAAAGATTACTTGTTGCACCTTATTAAAATATCAACCAAAGAGTTTTTTTAGTTTCATTTATCACATGGTTTGTTCAGATGACTATTAAGAACTTTAAGGCATCTGAACCATGGAAGTTAAATTACATACTTAACAAACTTAAAGAATTATCTTATCTAAAAATAAGTTATGTGGGAAAAAGGTAGTATAATCTACTTATGTAATTAGATTGTATTTGGTTTAAATAACAATTTTATTTTTAAGATATAGTTTATTTAATATTAGTATTATTGGACAAAAATAGTATTTTCATGTGAGTGATAAATATTCATAGACTTTTCAAGTATTTTTTTATGAACATTATTCACACATAATCCCAAAGTTGATAATTAAAGACTAATATGTTCTCACGAAGTATAAGTTATGTTCATGAGGAGGAAGATTTTTTGGACAATATTTTTCAAAAAAAAATTTCTCAAAGATTTATAATTTTATTGTTACGGATGTTTTTCAACATCATTTTATTCAAGGATATAAAAGCATCTAAAATAGTTCAAAACATGTTGGGACAATAATAAATTAACTTTATAAAGTTGCTAGAAATGATAAATGAACATTTTATTTTTGTAAGTACCTAGCATGAGACACTAGTGTGTCTGACAATTTTAATGATGGGTAAAATAAATATTTTATGTTGATTTTAGATCCATCATGACATAGAAAGGCTTGACATTTTATGTTGGTTATAAAAATAATCAACATAAAAAGTCTTTTGTTTTTAGTTTAACAATTGTTTTACTGTCGTGCTCTTTCTCTCTCTATTCATATTTCACTGTCGTGCTCTTTTCCTTTTGTTGTTGCATCTCTTCGCATTCTATTGTTATGTTCTTTTCCTCTCTTCACATTATGCTGCCACACTTTTTCCCTCTCATTCTGACACCTCTTCATTTCCATAACACACTATCAACATTTAATCAATAACAACAGAAAAACAAAAAAAAAAAAAAACTAAAGCAAAAAGAGAAAATAATTTTCCTATGGATATACGAGGAAGACAACGACGAAGAAAAGGTAAAGATGACAAAAACAAAAAATGAATCTAGAGTTAAAAAAACACGAATTACATTTTTTGAAATTTTAAAACACTTTATGTCAGGTGTTGTTTCATCCATTATAGAATTTTTTTTCTATATAAGGTGTCATTACACCCATCATAAAGAGATTGGAGTTAACTACAAAATTGACTCTCGCAACACATTTTATGACGTGTTGACTCATTCGACATAGAAATAACTTTTTGTGACAAGTGAAACAACATCCAACTTAAAAGGTTTTGTCATATTTAAATTCGCCATCACATCACTTTTTATGTCGTGTGGAGTACATCTAACATAAAATGTGTATCATTAAAAGCTCTTTTTGCATTAGTGAGAGACCATGCAAAGAAGAAGAGAAGATAAACTTTTTCTCAAAACTCTCGAAGCAACAAGCTTTAGGAGATTAATAACGACTCCACCACTCTACATAACAACTAGAAACATAAAAAAATAATAAAATAAAAAAAACATAATTTTGAAAGGGAAAAAAATCAAAACATAAGGCAGGTCTTTGTAAAACAATCTCCAAAAAAGTTCTCATTTTTTTATTTTCATTGGTGAGTATAGTCGAATCATTTATTTCCTTTTGATCATTTGATGCACTAGAGTTAGCCTTATTTGACATATTCGTGCTGATAGGAAAAAAGTTGTAGTTAGTAGATAAAAACTCAAATATCTTTGATCTTCATTCCAAATATAACTATACCCCAAGTAAGGCAAAAAAACACTGTGAGAATGACAAACCCCCCTCCACCATCGCCCCTGTGTAACCCACAACCGAGAGTTCAACCAACACAGCTACTCCCTCAACTGGGTCCCATCCTTCATCACCCTCCAACCTTTCTACCTACACCTCCTGAAGGAAAAAGTTAGGAGGAGTGGTAGATGACTTCTCCTTAGCTTCTCCTTTGCTCGGATCTTCTTCAAGGAGATGGAAACCACAAAGATGAACACTAGATGGAGGAAGAATCTCGGATATAGAAGAGGCTTAAGCCTTGGATGGAAGCATCCAAGCTTAAGGTGCAAGGGAAAGCTCACTTCAAAGAGGAGGAAATCCTAGTAGGGTTCCTAAGGTGAAGCTTTCTCTCATGGTGACTCTTGAACGAAATTTGGCTGAATAAGCTCTCAAATTTCATTATTCTCAAAAGTGAATACAAA